ATGGTATCATTGTCAGAGAAGCAGTCTCCGTAATACTAGTCGGACCTATTTAGGAGGACGGCCCTTTCCTTCTTTTATGCGTTACTGTGCTATCAATCGGATTTTCTTGTATTCGTTTACGTTGCTTTTGAGCTCCGGGTCCTAATACATAAACATGAATAAATATACAAGGTAACTGTGTAAGTTAAATTGAAAACTAGCACAACTCATTAGCACAACTAATGATTAAAAGTTTGATGCAATAGCGATCGAGTCGTTACGTTTTTTCGTATACAACACAAACTTACGTTTTAATTTCGCCACACGAGAACGTGTTACACGTGATGTACTTTCTGGGCTGGATTCAGAAATCAATGAGTCGGTATTCTTTTTCTTCAGTCGTGCGATTTCCTCCATTGCCGGTGTCATCCACTTTGCTTTAAGTTCATTACTGAAGTTCGAGAAAATAATCAAACATTAGGAAAGATTATGATAACACGTGTTATACTTCGTGTATATTTATGTCCATATAGTACGATATCGAGTGAGCAATCGACAAACTTGTATACTAACTCCGATGATTTTGATACTGTCTTATTATGCCTGAATGAACCAGATTGTTTTTCCTTCATTCTACGAAGCACGTCCAACATCGCGTACGTTGGCAGGGACGGTGGCCGTGGTGACGGAGGCGGTGTGAGAGGCGAAGGTGGAGATTGAGTACTAATTTTCGCAAATTTATCCGGGTGCAGTGCCAATACCGCTTCCCAAGAGAAGTCTTTCCCTTGAGTTTGGCGCTTAGGCTGCGTGTTTCGCGTTATTCGTATCTGGAATAGGTAGAATTAGAATAAGATAATTAGAATCATACATTACAAAAACATAGAAGTTTTTTTGAAGATTATGTACTTAGAGTTGAACTGTCTTTACCTCGCCGTTCACAGGTCTACAAGGTTTTCTCTCTCTCAGATACGGACGTTCGAAAAATGTAGAGCACGTCAGATTTTCATTGGATTCTTTCATATAATAAAGATACGAAGGTATATTGCCATCTTGGCTCCCACCATATAGAAACAGATTCCGTAAATAAGAATAATTGGGTTTAGTCTCGAATTCTAGCTCTGTAATATACTTCATATATTCTAGGATAGCAGCTGTAAGAAGTAAGTAAAATTAAAGATCAGATTTTGATATTTATGATATTGAATCGGTCAAAAAATTCAATTTGATATTCTGCTTCCTTCGATAATAAGCCGACCACAACAATCGTGATTACTTAAGTTGGTGAATAATTTCTTCTCACTTTGACTTAAAGACAAATTGACTCAAAATCAAATCGAACTTTTTGAATAATCCAATATTTAACCAAAAATCCACAAACCAGGCGGTTTTTTCTTGTCAGGAAAGCATTTGTCCATAAATAAAGATAAGTTTGATAGAAGAATTTCCTTTTGTGCGTGAACTTCTTCCGGATTCAGCAGACCCATCTCTTCACTAGTCTTCTCCCACGGTAGCTTTCCGCACAACCATTGTATAATATTATATCCTAAAGTCTCTAGATCTCCTCTTCTTGAGTGTGCTGAAAAATATTTTAATTAATGAGAAAATTTTCTACGATATTCTCCTTTTATAGCAGATGCTATAAAACAGCATATGTAGATGTAGATGTAGATGTCAGGCTTTAGTTTTCGAAAATAATTGACGTACTTCCATGATGAGCGTCCCGCGATGTGTATTCTAAAGTGCCTTCATGAGCCCTTCTCTCGTCGTGCACAAACGATTTATGCTGACCAGTTCCTGTGCGAAAACGATACGCTAGTCCGTAGTCCACTAAGTACGCCTCAGACTTTTCCCTTCCTATTCCGTCTCCGTATGTCCCCGCTAACAGGATATTTGGTCCCTTTATATCTGCATGAGCATATCCTTTACTATGAATATACTCTAGCGCGTCCAGCTGTAAGGAAAATCGCAATTTCGGTAATAACGACGAGATCCAAGAAACGATTTCGAATCTCATTGATCGCAAATTTTACCATTTGTACAGCTAACGTGTTGACGAGTTTTGTTGGCAACTTTCTCCTGTGCGATAGAAATAACTTTCCGATATCTATGCCATACCGCGGTATTACCAGAAACCTGTACCGCTGTCCTCTGTAAACGTGAGATCCTGATCCTTCGTACGTAGGGACACCGATCCTTCTTTTGCCTTGAGACTTGCACCAGCTCTCGACTGCATAGACAACAGGAAGTTAGAAACGTGCTTGCGTTTCATCTTGTATACTTCTTTCATCTCTTCTTTCATATCTTTTTCTGTATTAAATACTGAAAGCTACTCACTCATATGTCTGCGTGCCGCTCTTATATAGAAATTCATCTCGACGAATAGCGGCCCATTATTGTGAGGTTCAATTTTCACGACATATTTTGCATTCTCCCCAACAGGTGATGTAATGTCGTTAGAAGCTGCACAATGAAGAATATTTCACTAGTCGATTCGGGATAGTTGCATTGGATTTATAAGAACAGTTAAGTTATAAGTATGAATACTTACCTAGGTATATATCTCCAAAACCACCATATCCAATAGTATTCCCTAATCTCCATTTATTTTGCGTAATATCTGTCAGGATCTCTCCTGCTGGCAATTGTGCTGGTAATTTGCAACCTGCAGCTGCTACCCTTTTTACAGGCACGTCTTCTACACGCCTTGGTGGCATTTTATTACTATTAAATCGTACACAATATACTTTTATTTTCTTTTCACAAATAATGCAATATGTTACAATTTAGACAAAAAATCACACATATGTGGTTTGCGGTATAGAATTTGTTTTCAGCATTGAGTCAAAATGATATCATGTTTATTTTAAAATTTAATGCAAATATATATACATGGGATAATAATACACTGTTTAAATGCCTATAACTTTATAGGTTATGGGTGTTTACAAGAATGACAAGAACATATTGTACATATTGAAAATCTAAATTGTTATAATATATCATTAATCCTTTAAAAGGCTAATATATACTTTTCATCAATATAGTTATTCGTATATTAATAATGCAAATGTATGTTTATCAGAGGATCATATATACAACACCCCTTGTATAAATATTATTTTTGCAATTTTTTTATGGATAAATTATTACAAAATTAAGGACGTTCATACATACACTTACATTTAAGAATAAAATATAGATGTTTCCTCTGTAATCCTAGAGAACATGAAAATATATTGGTTAAAACAGATGTATGCAAAAATATAGTTTTTAATGCAAGTTTATAATAAGTAAAACAATTGTCACTCTTTACATTTTAATAAAGTTAAAGCACTAAAATATCAAATGAATATATTTATTTTACATCATTATTCATGCATAATTTAAATCACTCAAACAGTTTATTCATTAATGGGTAATAATTAATTCAGTAATGACTAGAAACGGATATAACAAACAATAATATTATATCAATAGACTCATACAAATTCCAAGAGCAGTTGCAGTAAGAACATCAGTATCGTACAATACTTTTTCCTAGATTAAATATTGTCTATGGCAATATATAAATATACTCACATGATGTATATATATTCTTAAGGAACAATTTTTATCAGCTTATTACTTATAACGAACTCATATCCTGCATCCTAGTATATCTCGAGCACCCACGATGAGATTGAGATTCGTAGTCTAGTTGGTAATTAAGAACATTCTAAGGGTTAGTTATGAATTTACAAACGAAAAATAAACAATGTATATGTATAATATGCAATGTGTATGCATAAATAAGCATAATATAAAATGTTTTTATATTTGTGTGTGCATATATACATGTGTGTGTTTTTTCATACTAGCACATATTTTCAGAATACTTTGATATACCATGCGCGACGATCAGCCGGCGGCTGCGTTTCATACTTACTTTTCGTATTTTGCGACGACGAGTTAGAGATTTTGCGGCGTGTAAACGAGAAAATTGATAAGCGACCGACTCTTTATGCTCACACAGGGCCAAGTATCGGAGATCGAGAAATGCAAATTGGAGAGCGACACTAAGCCAATCAGGACGAAGCAGGTGAAAATCCAGATTATTCAATTGGTCGACTTCTAATCTGCAATTCCCAATTTTTCACGTGCGGTCCGATATCGTTTTTACGAGACTACGGTTTCGACACAGTACGGTCGTGTTGTGTATATGTTAGTGGAAGTGCGAAGCAACGTCTCGCCGCGTTGACGTTAGTGTATGTGTCGGTGCTTCGTCCCGCCCGTACGATGTGAGCAACCTGAACGGATAGCACGCTTTCGAGTTTCAAATACACGTGTCAATGCCCGCAACGGTCCGTCGCTGCAGCCGCCGACGTAGACCGACGCTCATCGAGTAGCCGCAACTCACGCTACGCCGAAGTATTCACCTCTCCCCGAATCCGAGTCGGATACAAACTGCCATCAACTGCCATTACGCGAACGGAAGCGGCGATCAGCTGAAACCATAGACCTGAGAACACACTTGAACGTAGTCGTGTAATGTTAAATCGGACTGACGAGTGGACGCTGAGGTTAGAAACAAAGGGGGAACACTGGCCAATCCGGATCGCCTCGGTTCGATCTGGTCAATTTCGCTCGTCCGGATTGGTGGTCTTAGTGCAGTTTGGAGACTTTCGACTCGAGCGTCTAGTTACTCGTGAATTATGGCGGCGATAAAACTAACGTTCCAAAATTCTACTCTGTAGGTAAAGTACATTTAATTGACTAATTATGATAAAAAATCCTAGTTATCTTTGTTCTTATCAATTAAATGCCACTCTTCCCGTCGAGTAGAGTTTTGGAACGCATCCCTGAAGTTTTTCTCATTCTCGCGCATGGCCTTCTAGCTCACGACTAATCTCTGCCCAGCACCGTTCGCGGCGCCATAGTGGGCGAAGTAGAGGTAATGTTCCAACAGCAAAATCGAAGTGAAATTTGTGTTGTGAATTGGAGCGATAGTTGTAGCCGAACTGAGGAGATTTTTACCGGAATAACTTGCGAATTCCCGTCGCGAAAGATGGAAATGGATTGATCGCAAGCCCGTCGTGTGAGTATCGCTTCAATGGCCCTTTTATGTATTCGTTTAGTGGTTAGAATCCATCCGCATCGACGTATTGTTCTCTCTCTCTCTCTCTCGCTCTCTCGCTTTCCCTATCTATTCGCTGTTTCCCTCTTTCTTCCTCTTTGACTATTGAGTGTGTTAGTGGCTGAAGCATTTTACTTTCACGTCGCGGCCATAATCGCAATTATTACCAATTTCTTCCACGAAAAATGTGCCGCGTATATTTGTAAAAAAAGGAACATTCTGTTCGTGAAATTCGACTTTATCGAACATTAAGAAATCACGAATGCTCCTTTACGCTATATTCGAAAAAACATAATTGTTGCTGGATACATGTTCTAGATTCTAGATAAATGTGTTAGATAAAAAGTTCTTCACTTGAAGTTCTCTCGCATCCTATTCATTCATATATTTGTTGTTGCAATCTTATCATCAACATGTCAATCATACATGTTATGTTTCAATTTTATATTTCTCATATGTTGCTAGATGCTCTCATTTATACAAACATTTATAGCAATTATTCTTTTAGATAAAGTTAATTTCATCCTGAGTTACTTATATTTGTGATTTATTTAAAACTTTTGTATAATTTTCTGTTGCAGAGAGTATCTATTGTTGTAGTATCACATATATAATTCATCGTAATCATGTCTTACCCCGGTCAGCCACCTATGGGTATTCCAGGGATGCCTCCGATGCCATACATGGTTGGTGCACCTCCTCCAATCATAGGAGGAGTAATGCCTATGGCACATGTAAGTAAATTTATCATATTAAGGCATGACAATTGTGTTTTAGTACAAATAGATTGTGAAATACACTATGTTTATTTATATGCAAACTAAGTGGCAAATTTATGTAGTAACTCTTGCTTCTATTGCTGCTGTGAAATTAGTTTTTAAATTGTTATCTATGAAATACAGGCTTACTTCTATGTACAGTTGAAGCTATTGATTAATGCATATATGTTTTGTATTATTCTTATTGTACTGTAAAGCACGCACACATATACAGTTTATATCAACATAGAATGTATTACAATACGCTATTTTGTGTGACTTACAAGTTAAAAGTATATATATCTGTATATCTTTCTCAAATTTTCTCTTAGAAATGTTACATTTCACTTTGCATTGCTATATATTCTAATACAGCAATGTATTATATACTCATAGTACAAGTGACATATCGTAAACTTATTTGAAATATATATAAAAAACATTTTGTTAAACGATTTTACGCATAGGTTAAACTTTTGATAAGATTACCTGTCATACAACTGTCTTATTATTATCTTCTTTTTATTTAATGCATGATACGTACGTGCGTGCGTGCAAAGCGGAATGATAAGTCGTTATTCTGTAGCAATGCTTAGTTAGCTAAAATAAGAATGTATTAATCGCGCTATTAGAGAGGGAGGGGAAATGCGGAAGTGCATGAGTAGATATGTGCATTATTAAGAATCCTACCATTTATAAAACATAGATGATTCCAACACCCGTATCTGCGATGCAGACATCCGCGCCAGCCGTGCGTTATTCGCGCAATCAGAATCGCCACGATAATAATCGTCGGCGGGAAAGGGAGCCCGGTCCGCCTGTCACCGTGTTCGTTGGTAACATAATGGATAGAGCGCCCGACGTGATGATGCGTCACATTCTGGGTGCCTGTGGTCATGTACTTTCATGGAAAAGGGTACAGGCGTTTGGGTTTTGCGAATTCGCGGGCCCTGACGCTGGTCTCAGGGCGGTGCGATTATTGCACGACATGGAAATTGGCACGAAGAAACTTCTCGTCAAGGTAGACGCTAAAACTAAGGTAGTCCTGGACCAATTCAAAGGTAGGAATAGTCGGTAGAAGCGAGAACGCGGATTAGGATGAAACTAATTTTGCACGCATTACTTCATAGCTGAACGAAGGAAGAAAGTAAGGGGCGGTCAGTCACCCTTGCAAGACGAAACATCCACGGAGGGAGCCGATGGCGAGGACGTCGAAGACTATATGGACGAAGGTATGAGAGTGGTCGACGCCGACGCGCTCACTCGTATCAACCAGATCATAGGGGAACATGCCATAGACTTGGAAATGGCGCAAGTTGCTCCAGGTTATTATCTATATGATTTTTAATTCTTACATGTATTGTTATATGTTGCATAATAATCATATGATAAACAAGTAATACTTTGTGTTAATATTGTTTTATTATTTCCGTTATTTTCATAATTTCTATTATTTCACAATTTATAATATGATATAAATATAAATGTTGTTTTTTGCAGAGGAACACCAGACAAAAATAGTAGCTAAGTCCTTAAACTTGGATGACACGGAGATAGAAGAAAGTAAAAGAGACTTGATTACTCGGGAGATTGGCAAATTCAGAGAAGTCATGAAGGTAATTATTATTATGAACATTTTTACATCTCTTTCTTTCTTTGAGTCCTATCTTCTTCTTTTTTTCGACTGCAAAAAGAAATTTGTCGCGTAGATACAACGAGAGATGGAACTCTTATCTTCCTTAAGAAAGTATATGCTAAAAAAGAAGGCACTTCACAAATTTATTGACATCAATTAGTCACAAGATTGATATTGCTTACTTATAAAATACTACTTATTTGGCTTACAAAGCATTATAAACATATCTTTTTATAATTGTGAATATAGTTCTCACACGATACTGATAAATAATGAAATTTTAATGGGATATAATCTGTTATATCCGATTGTATTTTATCTGCAGCAAGATCGGACATAGAATATAATTCAGTCAAGTTCTATCAATAAATTAATGTTAACAATAAAATATTACGGTTTGCTTAAGGTAATGTGTGACTGTATCTTCTTTATTTGAATCGTTTTTCTTTTCTTAGTTTCTTATGTCTTTTTCGTTATTTTCGATATAAGATTAGTAAGATACTTTTCTATTTTCCTTTATTTTTAGTATGTCACTAAGTATATGTTTGTAATACTTTGTATATGTTTGTAATACTTTGTACTGTTTTATTATTTCTATTATTTTCACAGTGCTTATCTTTTATATATGTATCGACACATTTTTATCAGTTTAAAAAGTTTAAGTATGTTAACGTTGATCGCATATATATTCAAAATTGTCGCAGCACTTTGAAACGTTGAATGCACGAAGAAAAGAAAAATGTTGTTACATTACGTTTTGTCAATTTGTGTACGAAATTCGAGGTATGCATTAGCATAACACAATAACGTAAATCTGTGAGCTCGTGCTATACACGAAAGAAAATCTTAATATTTATCTATGAATTGCTATTAGTATCTACTTCACAGAAATATTACGATTGGATGCGATTTCACGCGTCATGCTTAAATAATCTGAATGACATGCTGACTCTCTTGCAACGTGAAAATCGCAAGTGTCCAATCGCTTATACTTCCTATTGCAGACTACCGTTAACTCCTTTAAATATCTTCTATCTTTCTCTAACGGATCTATCTCTTTTCCTTCCCTTTCTATTTCTATCTGTTTATCAACTCCTCTATCAAACGATCTATCTATCTATCTATCTATCTATCTATCTATCTATCTATCTATCTACCTACTTACTTACCTATCTACTTATCTATCTTTTTTTTCTCTTTCTCCACTTAAAATATAAAAGAATGTATCTGTATGTACAAGAGAGGATTATGAATATCTCGTAACGAAAGCCGTAGCTCTTAAGTATTTTGTGGTAAAGTGCGTGTGTGCTATGTTAGCTCTGAACAATTGGAGCCGTGACTCGTTGCTGTAATTATAATAACAGGCAGCGTGCGTCGCACACAGCAAACGCACACGCCTAGGAATGCTGTGTGTGGGGACCACCCTTTCACTCACTCATTGGCTCTGAAGGGAGTCAATCACAGCACATCCCTCGTATTTTCGCAGGCGGCTGCAGCCTCGTCGGTAAGTCAGAGTACAATCCAAAACAACCAAACATGAAAAAAGAAATGAGAATAAAAGATATGCGCAACATATATATAATATATATTACTAAAGGAGACTCGAGTTCTCCGTGGCAAGCTGGCGACATGTAGCTGATCACTTTGTTTCTATTGGTATTCTGTTTTACTGAATACGTCGCAAATACTGATCTGCGCTACATTGCGGCTGTTATATTTTTGACGTTTAGAGATAGACACGATTACGATTTATTTGGTGATGAACTTTATCTACTTCTGTATATGTCATGCTAAACTGCTAGCGATAGCAATTACATGAGATTAAATGAGATACGAGCGCATTGAATGTATCGGATGTGCATGTTTTTCAATGAGTCAAAGTAAGATGAGTTTCTTCTGTCTCTCGTGCGGCTGTATTTCATTTCTGTGATCATAGTTTGTATTCCACTTGTGGCTAAGCTTATCCAAGCACATGTCTTTGATCCGAGAGAATTCTTCAAGTGATTCGAATTACTGCGTGTGTATTATCGTGCATTGCGTTTACATTAATTAAGCCACGCGAGACTTTGACTTTCTACGCGAAAAAATACACACGTATGTACAATCTTACGTCTGAAGTTACACGATTTAGAATCGCAGTATAAATGAAATGAACGCGACAGCTTATCGCCGCATTGTCGTCTAGCAGTCTAGTATTCGCATATCGAACGTAGGTAAGCGGTTCTTTAGGTTGCTTTCACGCACAGTCTAGGATTGGAATGTATTGTCATTTTGTACAAAACACTTTGGCGCTGACACATTATTGCGATACATCTATTGGATAAACTACTATGATAGGGCCGGGAGACTTTCTGTACGCTACACACAATGAAAAATGATTTTGTCATCACCAAAATGGCGACTGTTCAGTTGTTGTCTTTATTTTGTGTAAACAGCTTCTGTCAGCGTCTCGATCAGACATGTAGTACCTAGGTGCGCGCTCCTCCATTCTCCGGTACCACCACACTGACTGACCAAGTCAACTTCACACCGTGAGTAAACTCCACAACCATGAGCCAAACACGAGCATTCGGTTCTTGTAGTTTTTTTTTGCTAGTGAGATCGCCCCGAATCAGTGATACCTTTTGACCACGTTTCATATTACAGCAGTCTATTTTCTCCTCACAACGTGCATCTACTTTCATGCACTGAGTTATTCTACCCCTCGTTAGCTTAAAATAAAATTTTTTAAAATCATGGGTTACCGTATGGACGAGAGACAGCTTGCACGTTCCATTACGCTGAAGTAGGTAAACCGATCAGTGCAAAACGCTAAGAACGACTCGTCGGGGCTAAAAAGAGAACTGCGAGATACAATGAATTATCTTTTAAGCTTCGTAATCGTAATTGCATTATATATATACATATATCAATGCGGACCGCAGCGATATCGTTTCTATATGGTCGTCAGGAAGAGCATTCAGAAAACAGACGTGTTTGCATGACACTGTAACGCGAGTAACTTTTCATTTACTTATTAGACTTATCTTTCTTCAAGTAAAAAAAAAATATATATACGTATATCTGATTTAAACGTGGACTTGCGTGCGTTTCGCGCGGGCACATCGCTTTTTCTTAATCTCGATCGATCGGGATTTTCCAAACAGTAACCCATTTTGGATACTAGTATAACAAATAAGGATGAACCATACTAATTTATTTCTAAGACGTCACGTTTATAACACGAATCGATAACGGTGGGCAAACTATTGTGCATTTGATATCCAACAGTTTGCTGCATCAGCTGCCATAACGCGTGTAACCATTACCAGAGGAAAACAATGTTGACAGAACAGTGTGACAGTTTCTTGGCAAATGTGAAAAGATGTTTTGGTGGATACCCTTCTTCGTGATGACTGCGCCTCCGATTGGTATTATACTTTCTAATAATTATTGAATATTGATCAAGAGTCAACTAAATAATCTCGAAAGAGAATCCCCTTTCGAAGCTCTTTATAGAATATATTACTATAGATTTAGACACTATCGATTTTACAGGCACATTTGCAATGTTGTAAGTACATTGGGTGGCCTCTGCGATGCATCTGTTTAGCGTTTAAGGTACTTACATTATAAGCTAGAGCCTAAGACAACTCTTATGCCTGTATCCAAATATTTGTACCTGCACTTAGGTAATTGATATGTAAACGAGATTTCGCGTAAGATGCCGCCGATCGAGCATACTCCAGTGGAGTGAGTATACCATATTGAAATGAACATCTCTCTACATTCGTTATGTCAGATGATTATTAAGGCTTATAACAACTAGTAATCGTTCTGCGTGTACGAATTGAGTATGACTGTTTTTAGCGTGATCTTCTTTTCTATCGGTACGTTTTCTCTCTTTGTCTCCGTTATGGCTAAAACGAAAGGAAAAAAAAGAAACGAAACGATCACGAAACCGATAAGGACATTCGTGAAAATGAGCAGAGGCATTTGTACATCTACAGCGCCACTGGCGAAAAATACATAGGCAAAATTTATCTCACGTATTATGTGATATCCGTTAGCTTTTAATTTGACGAAGTTTTGTTTGAATAATTAGCACATATTGTGTTGTGACTAGATCGCTAATAGAACTCTTATTGAACATTTATTTATACACACGGCACATAATGCATCTTCCTGCTCTTCGTTTTGTTGTATACTTAAGGAGGATACGATTGCTAGTTTCTTGGTTCCATCATTATCACAAGACCGACGCGCTTGTTTCAACATTCTCGTCTCACCTGCACCCGAATTCTTGTGTTTTATAGAAGCAGGAAGAGGAGAAGGCCCAGGTGAAGCGAAAGAAGGAAGCAGTCGAGAAGGAGGAGCGCGAGAAACGGGAAAAGGAGCGGCGCGATAAGCGCGACGACGACACCAACAAGGACGATCAGGATGGAGATCTCGGTAGTCCTACGTCTCATAAAGGTCGTAGCGATAGTACCGGCAGCAGTAGAAGGGATAAACGTCGATCCAGATCTCGGTGAGGCATCAACCGAATAATTTCTTCTACGAAAAATAATGTTTCATTTGTTCCGACATTTGATTTATGTAAGTTACAGAAAACAGTTCAATACAGAGACAATTCTTTTATTCGTGTGACGTAGTTTTTTTTAATGTAACATAACTTTTGTCTCATAAGTTTGAACTTTTAAGGTCTAAGGAACGCGACAGAGACCGATCGAGAAGCGATCGAGATCGGGATCGAGACAGAGACCGCGAGAGAGATCGAGAGCGGGAACGGGAACGGGAACGGGAGCGGGACCGGGATCGCGAAAGGGAACGCGAGCGGGAGCGTGAGCGAGACCGGGAGAAGGAGAGAGATCGGGAGCGGGAAAGAGAGCGGGAGCGCGAGGAGATGAGAAAAAGTGAGAGAGAAATTATGCGCGAAAGGGAAGAGGAGGAAGAAGCGAAGGAGAGGAAGAAGAACGACAGGCGAGCGAGAGAGAAGGAAGCAGCTTACCAGGAGCGTTTAAGGGCGTGGGAGACGCGCGAGAGACGTAAATTGAAGGAGTACGAGAAGGAAGCGGAGAAGCGTCGCGGGAAACGTGAAACCCGCGAGAGAGAAGCGAAGCGTCTGAAGGAATTTCTCGAGGACTATGACGACGATCGCGATGACACCAAGTATTACAAGGGCAAAGAGCTGTCCCGTCGACTGGAGGAACGCGCAGTGGAGGCCGAGGCAGACTCGCGGGATCGATGCACTGAACGCCAGGAGCTTCAGCGTTTACGTGACAAATTGTACGCTGATGCTTCTCATCCAGATCCTGCCGCGGAATTCGAAAGAGTGAGTCTTGTTTCTACCCGATAATCTTAAACCGGGAGAGATACTGTTTAAATATCATCTATGATCTGTCTTTCATATACCAAATGTAAAATAAAAGTATAAAGTAAGATTATATGTTAATGAATGATGAATATATAATTTATAATTAAAAGAATCAAAAGTCGATTATAATAGAGCTAATTTTTCATTGTTCGTTGAAAAACTATTCCGATAAGAAAGATCTTTATTTCATAGAATTTCTTTATTCTTCAACTTATCGTACGCATTCATCTTTTTAGTTGAAAGCCGAACGGGAAGAGCAATACAAGCCTAAACCAGTAATTACTATAATCGACGAGGAGGACGAGAAGACGACGAAAAAAGAAGAACCGATGCCGCCAATAGAAACCGAGCCAATTGAGAGCGATAGCGACGACGGGGTGCAATTTGACGACGCTTCTCAGCCGGAAGTTCCGTCCAGAACACCACCACGACATCATCATCACCATCGCCGGCATCATAGACATCATCAAAATCATCATCGTGACGGTGAAGAAAATCAAGAAGGCAGCATAGAAACAGCGGACCGAGAAAGCTTGAAAGACGCACGGCCGTCGCCGGTCCAAGCCACGACACCTGCTCAATCCATTCCACCGACGCTGGACGAAGATTCGCGCATGTCGTTAGTCAGCGAGCCAGAGAAGACAAGCGGCAGTAAATATTTGGTTTATTTAGACATGATTTAGACATTATTTAGACATGATTTAGTGATTCTTTTCACGATATTGTATGAGTGTATTTACAATTATATATTTATAATTGTTATACATTTGTTTATTATGCGGAAAAGGAAAGACTTTGTTTATTATATATTATTTACAATTATTTATTTATTGCGATAGGTAATTTCGTTCCGTTCGCTATGGGGAGTGGAGGCAATCGTGCTAGCGGAGATCACGCCGTTGGAAACAAAACGCCAGTTAGTCCGAGTGCAGCTGCCAATGTAAATTCGCAACAAGCGAATCAAACGCGGAAGAAAGGTCGTATAGACGTTAAAGACGTTTTTAATAACGATGACGATGATGATGCAGCTAACACCGCAAAGAAACGTAAACTCGTACCACTGGGTAAGTGTCTCACCTTCGTTATTAACTCCAATGAGAGAAAGCTGAGACATTTACAGTCTTTGCTGCTTGCAGATTACGGCGAAGATAAAAAGAAGAAAACGGAAGAAACTACGAAACCAGGGAAAGAGGAAAGTACAAAAAGTCAAGAGGAAAAGCGAAAGCACATCAAATCTCTCATAGACAAAATACCTACCGATAAGAATGCTTTATTCGGTTATCAACTCGACTGGGCAGTGATAGATAACGTAAATATTAATTATATTTTACGAACAGTGCCTCTCTAAAACAATAAGAGATCGCTTACAATATGGCATCTATATCCTTCGTGTAAACTTGTAAAAAATGATAAGTTTTATTCAATTCGCCAATGAGATTTTTCATCTTTCTTCTCGAAATTTAAAACGCGAAGGAAATAAGTATGTTGTAAACGATCTTTAAGACTGTTTTTAGGGACAGTCTCATTATTGATTCATTGATTCTACTTGTGTTTTAATTTAATTTGCTTTTTCTGTCTAATAATATAACGATTTTGATTAATAAAAGCTACTCTTATTAACTGTAACTTTATTTTCATGTTTTTTATTTTCTTTTTTAGACACTGATGGAAAAAAGAATCAGACCTTGGATCAATAAGAAGATCATTGAATACATCGGTGAACCGGAACCTACTTTAGTAGATTTCATCTGCAGCAAAGTCATGGCGGGCAGTTCTCCTCAGGGAATACTTGACGATGTACAGATGGTAATTATTATAAATATTACGAAACGTGACATTGCCACATGTTATACACAAACTTTACAGAGCACATATTTCGTATGTTTCAGGTATTAGATGAAGAGGCGGAAGTATTCGTAGTCAAAATGTGGAGGTTACTAATCTATGAAGTGGAAGCTAAAAAGATGGGCTTAGTGAAGTAATGGGAATACTATCTGAAGAATTTTATCACTCACGGTTTATACAAATATATTCCCTCAACTAAGACGATGTCTAGAAATTACACGTAATCTAGGCGTAATTTATCTATCATACTATGAAAATGGACGGGGAAAATACTGTCATGGATTCGATATTGACTTTAAATGTGTAGTAGTTATAGCGTTAAATAAACTTGTAATTACGATTTATAATATGTCGGGCACTTTTCAATTTATCTGTGATTGTCTAAACGTGACAATTTTGTATAGAAAAAATAAAGTTCTATTAGTATAATTTATTTCAATGTTAAGAGGATGTCATATTTCTCTGCAAAATTTACATTGTAGTGATATAGAAACTACTAAAAATTATAAATATTGCTACATAATAGAAGTACGTGTAAAAATAAATTTGAGCATTGCCCAATATGTGACAAAAAGATTAAAAAAATTATATATATATATATGTAGATTTATTTGTTACGGAATGCTCCAATTGACAAAAGTTTCACTTTTCACTGAGATAAGTGTTTTTTATCACATGAGTTTATCCCTTTTGACATCCTTTTAATATTGTTTGTAACATTAGGTTAAATTAGGTGATATGGATTTCTTATTACTTAAAAATTATATTACTATGAAAATGTATTTTTAAACTTTTTTTCATCATAGATCATCATATCAAAGGTATCCATATTACATTTATCTGTTCTTTCATATTATTTGTTCTTTGATGTATTTATCCGTTCATATTTCACATTTCTTATATAAATAAATTATAAACTGAATGGTCTACGACGAAAAAATAGAGTACGTAAATTTATTTTCTTTTATTTTTTTTAAACGAGCTATAATCTATTCATAATTTGCTTTTAACAGTAAATGTCGTCGTCCATTCTGAATATGATTTTCTTATCATTAATTTTTACGTCAATTTTTTTCTTTCTCTTTCCACAGTGTAAACGACTTCCCTGTACTATCCCCAACATAAAAGAAACTCAAATCGAAATGTAAGAAAGAAGAAACCTGCAGTAAAAATTTTATCTACTGTTTATACGCACCAAAGTATCTATACTTCTACGCTAGATGTCGCTACATATGCAATTCATATTTGATTTTCTACACTACCGTTAATGACAAGATGAACGCCGCGGGACTTCAATGTTTGATTCTGAGCAGGTAATATTTCATTTATTATGTATAAAAGATAAGTTTCTATCACTTATATACATAAGCAACGCTTAAACAATCGATCGTGCATAACACGTGTACAATATGGCAACGTGACGCATATCTCGACGCACATATTTCGGCAAGAATCAGTTCGTTTTGAAACAAGGGAAATCGATCTTGATCTTGTTGTAACGTGAAATCAGCGGGAGCGGCCAACTTTTCTGTTACTCGCTCTACTCTTTATCTCTCGTCGTTGCGAAAACACCGGCTTGATTCTGGAGCATTAATTATATTCGCGATGACGTATTTGACGAAGTCGTCAAACGGTCGAACGGCGGAAAATGACGCGGCCTTCTCTCCGTCCTCCCTCTTCCCTCTCTCTCTCCCTTTCCTTCACTCTCTCTCTCACACACACTACGTGTATGTCGAACCGATCATAATTGACTCATTAATCATAATATTGATTCGATATCGGCGCGTTTACGCGCGAATTTCTACCGTGAGGAACGGATCGGGTTTTCTCCTTCGTGACAAAAAAACAAGGACGCGCCGATTATTAATGGGACACACGAGTAGTCCGTACATAATCGCACGAACGAATTGTAAATCGAGGTCCATCTCTTAAAAAACACTCTAATTGCCGTCTATATGCCTTTTTCGCGTAATTCTCGTGACTTTGATATTAATCTGTTTATTTCTGCTGCGGGTTTGTTGTATGCAGCGCGAGGAAACCTTTCTAACCGAAAGTTTTCTTGCAAACACATGTATGATAAAAATAAAATATTTTATACTGCAGCACACGTGTAACATACGGCGTGTTCTATTTTTATCGCATCGAAATACGTCAATTCCTATTTTTTAATTTCTATTTTTTTAACGCGACTTGACATTACATGATTATGTACAATTAATCTATAATATATATATATATATATATATATATATATATATATATATATATATATATATATATACAGGGTGTTCGGAAAGTATCGGGACGCCCGAATATCAGGAAAAATATAAGTTTTACAAAAAAATGTTTCAGACAAAAGTTGTGGCGTTTAAAAAGATGTATTTACTGATCACATCAG